CCTCGCCTCGCCTCGCCTCGCCTTTATTGCCTCTTCTGTCCCTGTGTGATGGGACACAAATGGCCACAGATCGTTACGACACTTGTCACAGAGTGGTAACAAAGTAAAGTTCACGTAGAAATCAGGCCTCGTCGGTAACTCGTAATTTCCGATCGTTTTGAAATGATTCGATGACGCCGGTTGCAAGGCCATCTTTCCCCCTCCTTTTTTTTACGCGAACGTTCGTGACTTTTGTCACGATCGATCATGCGAACGAATGATAGCCAACTGTCGTTGTTCTTTCCTCTTTCGACCGGACGACCAGGGTATCGACGAACTTCCGGAGGAGATGCGAGGCCTGATGAAGATGGCCGTGGAGATGCCGCCGATAGCTCGAGCAGCCATCTCCGGGACTCTGGCAGCGATCGGAGCGATCGTTCTGTTAGGAGCGTTGCTGTGCCTGGCGCGTGCCGCCAAACGACAGGAGAAGCTGCACCTTACCAATCCATTGCCGTCCAACAACGTCACCGCCAGCAAGACCGCTGGTGGCCAGCTGAACCCGGCTTTTCAGAATTCCTCCGGTTCCAAGTAGTTTCCAGCTGGCTGCTGTTCTCCCAGAGTCGGCTCTTCTTCGATCACGGTTGTGCGTTTCCTCGCGTGAATCTTTTCACCCTGAGCGTCGAAGCGCCGCTCTGACGCGCGTTGTAAAAACCGAGCGAGCAAGAGAGAGAGAGAGAGAGAGAGAGAGAGAGGCAGTCACGATGCCTTTTCACCTTTCGCGTTTTTCTTCCCTTTTTCTCGTCGTCTTTTCCTTGTCGTCTCATCTTGGAATCAGAAGCAGAAAAAACGCTAAAGTGGAGGGAGAGCAAGGGTATTTTCGTCGAACGACGAAAGGATTCGGATCAGGTTCGCGTTTCCGCGCGAATCGCGAAAAGCGAACGAGTTAAGAAAGCGAAGCGGAAAGGCGTCGAGAAAGTACGCGAAGGATGTAACGGTGTGTGCGTGTGCGTGTGCGTGTGTTGCGTGTATGTGTTGCGTGTCGCGCGTTGCGCGTAGAGAAAGATAAAGAAGCAAAAAAAAAAAGCGGAAAAGGAAAGAAAAGCGTGACAGAGAACGGTCGATTAATCGATGGCCGATTGTCGTCCAAGACTCTATATGTATATGCGTCAGCGATCGATAAAATGCGTTCTGCTCGTCTCTCTCTCTCTCTCGTAATCGTCCAAGAGGAAATCGTTCCGTCCAGCGTACGCTTGATCGCGCGCGTGCACGCAAGAGTCGTTGTCCTCGGACTTTGACGAACATGGCACTTCTGGCAGCGATCGAGATCTTTATTGTTATTCATTTACCTTCGTTTCTATTGTGTATTTCGTTGGAAACTCGTTACTCTACGAGGTAGTAGACTACGATTAGATTTCTAGATGAATTTATCACTTTTTTTTTTCTTTTTTTTTTCTGCGATGAAGCATGAGGGTTGGGGAGGGAGGGGTGATAGACGGGGGAGGGAGGAGGAGAAGGTGAGAAAAGAGGTAGAGGTGGAAGACAAACACAAAAATACTACGTAACAAACTAGTTTTGAAATCGGATCGACCAGA